AAAAAAAAAAAGTAACATAAAAACACCAAAAAATTGACAGTACCCATGAAATTATAACACAAATCAATTTAGTCACAAAAAAAGATAAATCAGAGCTTCAGTATCATCGGGAAGACTTACAGAGATCCTTCATGTGTGGTTACAGATTCATTCAGCTATGCTTCATGTAGCTCCTTAGTTTAACCCGGTACTCTTTACTTAAAGGAACCTTTTGCCAATTTTTAAACCTACTTCGTATGTTCCTCCTTCATATGTGTGTGTCTTTACAAAGCCACAATAGATATATGGAACCAATGCTCTTTACAAATAGAGTTTACTAAATATCAAGAACAGTATCCAACTAGGTGTGAACAAAAGCTGTTTAATACATGGCAGTGATGTGCGGCAGTACTGTATTTATTGTTGTTGTAACCTCTGTAAGTGGCCAGAAAATCTACCTATATTTGGTTATTGCCTCCTATGAGAGTGTATCTGTAAGAATGTGCAAATGTTGGGCCTTGGGGGAGGTATGAGCTCCACCGAGAGCCGTTCTCGTTGTGTAGTTCATCAGCATGTGCAGTGTTAATCGTGTCAAGCATTACGGCAGCTTTCAGCAGGATGCATAAATCTTATGCCGTCAATCTGGCAAATTAGCGGCAAATTGTTCCTTTAGGACTCCATTCATAATCAGTCACATCTTTAAGGCTACCAAGCTGAATGCTGCAGGTGTGATGTGACCACATGGGAGTGTAGTGTATTCATCATGGCTAAGGTGCTGAGGTGTTTGGAATAAGGCGTCTGTGAGCACTGATATTGTGGCTGTACTCAGGTAAGTGAGCATGGGAGGTACTGGTAGTGAAAACGAGTCTGTTGAACAATTCTAAATCAACCTCCACTGCTTCAAATCGACTATGACCGATTCAAATATAGTTATGTTAACGAAAGGCTTAAAAAACTTGATTCTTAAGGGGGCATTCGTACAAATGCCTTGGCTATAATTATAATTTAGGGGTTGATTTGGAATTGAGTACAGAATAAAAGCTGCTGCCTTTTCCAGACAGAACTGGGCAGGAGGACTTTAGCATGTTTCAGCTGCTGCCTTCAGGATCATCAGCGTTAGACGGCAGAGCAGAGACAGCTTCACCATGATTTATCCAGCGCTGATCTGCTCCTCTCCTCTGGCTCGCCTGCTGCTCTGTGTACTGGCTCAGGAGGGCTTCCACCTGCTCCTGGTCATTAAATGGACTGGGACGGAAACTGGACTGTAACCATGCTCGGTACTAGGGACGAGAGGAGTGACAAAAAAAAAACCAAAGAAACAACATCACCTTATTGTGTTAAATCAAATAACATTACAGTGTTCCATACCTTGCTGACAGGACAATGTGCAAACATAAGATAAGCAAATCTGATTTCCCCCTGTGGTACCTTGTAGACAGTGTCAAAGCCACGTCCAATTTTTCACAAGAGGATTTTTTTTTATCAATCTTTACATTATATGTTAATTAGAAATAACGGAAGTGTGACGAAATGGTCTGAATGCATGATTTTCACTTATTATGGGATACTTTTTAAGGATTTATGGTAAAAAATGAACCAAACATATGATCAAATCATTTCAGTACATGTACTTGTTTTCTTTCTATGGAGAGATGCTTGTGTGCTGCGTCAGTCAATCAACTCCAGCTGCACTACTGCTGTTCCACAATATTCCACTCTGTTAAACACACCCTCCCAATTTGCCGTTTTATTCAACCTGTAAATATTTCCCATCGATCCTTTAGCTTGTCAATGCCTCTGCTGCTCTATGTTAGTTTTACTGCTTGTCAAGTCAGCCCCTCCACCAGACCAGCACCCACCTGCAGACTCAGACAGGAGAGTTCAATATATTTGCTCATCCCTCTCATTATATCTATGTAATCATATCAGGGGGAGCGATGAAGTCGGGGCCTAAATGCCTAAATTACCTGTTCTTCCATATTTTTCTACTTAACTTGTGTTCAGTATGTGCACATTTGTGGTCATAAATGCTGCACCTGTTTATAGTGATTTGAAATATGTACTTGATATCTTGGGTCTATTTGCCAAGACCTGAGTTTACTCAGTTAAACAGTTTTAAGTAAAACTCTGAGAGTGAGGTGACATTTTCAACAAATTCAAGAGCATGGAAGAAACTGTCATGAAATAATAATCCACATATTCAGTTTGAGGCGACAAACAGAAACCTTGTTCTGCACTTGGAGTTGGCAGATAGGATAAGAAGACAGGGCAGAAATCTTGCTTAATCTTACTTAATCTTACTTACTGTAAAATCTGCACTTTATAAATATTCATCTAACTGCATTTCATCATCTTGGAAAGTCATGACACATAATCAATCTACAAGATGCTCTTTACTGCCTGGTTAAAGGCCTGCAAATCTGTACGTAAAAATCAATTAACAACAGCATGGCATTTTCTGGTATTACCGCTGCAGAGGAGAAAATCTGAGTTTTGATTCCATTTGTTCCATAAATTCACTTTCCAGTTTTCTCTATCTTTAAGGTTTTTGGCAGTTGTTAGTATCTGAAGATAGAAACGATAGCAGTATAAATTGTGTGTTAAAAACTATATTAATTATTATTAATTATATTTTTATATTAATTGTCACAAGAATGTAGAGTTTTCTGAGACAGCATCTTGTCCCAAAAGGAAGGAATTGCACAAAGGATGTCCAGGAACTGTTTTGTGCAATATCTTATTATTTCTGAAAGACAATGTGAAGTGAAAGTCACTCTGAAAGTACTACATTCATCTTACTAAAATTAGTATTGTCACTGTTAACTGAAAAGACAAAACAGTACAGCCCTGACTCATAGGATCAAGACAACTGTAACAATGAATAACCAATCAAAAGCACAGTATCAAGATAACAGATAACATATGTATAACATAGGGGTTGTAAAAGATGCTGGGCACTGTAATTCTGTCATCATTAAAAAAAGAAATCCTGTCAGCAGCTACAAAGTCCGTTTGAGAGTTCCACATGAAGATGGCTGAAAACTAAAAGAGAAAACTTGATGTCAAATATACCAAAATGTTAACATGATGGCTTTACTGTCAGAAATGAGTCCCACTGGAGCTCATGTCCTTGAGATAAATGCTTGAATCGAAAGATTCATAGAATGGCATTGACTCTTGGAAAGGCACAAATTGGATGTACACTGTATTTCATGCACTTTGTTGTTGTCATCCTGTGGCTGTAAGCTGTTTCGTTATGTTTGTGTGTTGTTTTCTTTGTGTTTTTGCAGGATTACTCAAAAACTACTTAAGCAGATTCAGATAAACAGGTGGATCCAAGAATTTACTTTCACTTTCACACAGTGAGTAAGGATGTTAACCTTAGCGTATGTGTTTGCTGAGTGCCCATATAGATACAGCTGTAGCAAAGCAACATATTTGTCCTAAGGATTCCTCCCTCCCTATTCAAGGTTTATGTAAAAAACTCCAATTCAACAGACAACATACAGATTTCCTCTAAAATCCTCGAAATCACTGCAAGATCCACAAGCAATAAGCAGATTATTCAATCATGTTATGTTGCAAGGTGCTGACAGTAATGCTCAACACGTGATGAGCAGAACTGACCTGATGCAATCCCAGCAACCCCCCTGCAGTTCCCCTTCTCTGGGCAATGGTTAGATAAGTGCCACTGTAATGAAATCACGCACTAGGTGCCTTCAAGTAACTGCAACATTTGAACAGCTGTGAACAGCTGCCTACAATGTGTTCATATACAACACATCCTGTCAATGGCAAAATGCTTTGGGGACAATGACTCAAAATAAAATCCAAATTTTCTCACTCCAGCTCGTTTTCTGATAACTCAAAAAATGTTGTCTGTAAGGTTTAAACCAGCATTTTTAATACAAGCATGTGTACCTGTGATTCATCAGTTACACTGCTTGATCTTTTGTCTTGGTGAAAAAATTCTCCAAACCAGAATGGACATAAAACCATGAAGCCACTTAATACTTCCTATAAGTGGTGACATTCTTTAAAGTGGAAGTAGACAAATCAAAAGTATGAGTAATTAGGCAGGGTCACGCATTATGTACCCAAAAGGCTCCTTACCTGTGAAATGCCCGACACCTAACCCCCAACCCTTTCTACATATGTATGTTATAAATATAAATATATATATGTTCACCTACATGTTCACACATCACCACAAAAGTGCCCCCTGATAAGTAAGAGTATAAAATTAGGACCACTTGCTCTGAGTTCAGATTTGAATCTTAGAATCACATTTTTCACAACCATTCAAATCAATAATATGAACCAGACACAAATAAAGTTTACAAATCAGTGCTATGTTCTTATCAATGTATTATCTGAGTCACAACTTTTCTTTCAAACTACCTCCCTGATGTGAGATGTGATGCTGTTAAGTTTTCGTCCCACACTGTGAATCTCAGTTTCCACACAGCCATCACAGAAATAATGATCTACTGTTTATTTAGCTCGACAGTATTTACACATTAATGAAAACATACACGGGACAGCCCACCTGTCGGGTATCTCCCTTTCCATGACAACAAGACAACCACAATTAACCTTCGATAGGTTAACCACCTACTGCACGTGGAGCATGACCCTGTGAATTCCTTGGCAAATCACCAAAACAGCCCATAACCCACCACTACCTGAAAATACCAGTGGCAAAAAAGGGCCTGAATGTTTTCTGTAGGTATTGTTTGTTCCGTTGCATCACATCCATTGACGTCGGTGTGCATGTTCCCTAATTTCATAGACTTTCATATATGTTTGTATCAGCCCCCAGCCTGTGTATGTATTCACCATGTCAGTGTTCCTTTGTGTGTTAGCGTGTGTACCTCTAAGACTTGCGTCTGCTGATACTCCTGCAGCTGCTGCTGGAAGCCGAAGTTTGGGCCGACAATAGAGCGAGCGGCCTTAACTGCAGACAGACACTCATCCCAGCTGTAGTGTGTGACAGTCATCAGGTAGGCCACCACCATGGTAGTGCTGCGGGATACACCTGCCAGACTACAGCAACACATGGGACACTTGATCAGTTTGGTCATTTGCATCCATAACACCATTTTTCTTACAGGTAAAAAGGTCAATGACAGGTAATGAATGCTTCTCACAGCTGAAGGCTTACATGCACAGTCAATATGAATCGGCACACTTTCAACAAGGAGCTGGTAACAGCTTTGGATAAAAACCTACCAGTGAACGAGACAAGATCCACCATTCAGGCGACATTCGTGGATGAAGCTGATGCACTCTTTAAAATGCTGCGATCTGAAAGGAAAACAGACACAACTTTAACTATTTTCCAAATTCTGACTTATCTCATATAGCACACATGATTCTATGGTGTGTAGAATGGACATAAAAACAAACGTTTTGAATTCAGTATCACAAACACTTTTGGCTCATCAAATGAGGAAAGTAGTTTGCTTTTGTCTAGGCAGAGTGGTGTCACGGATGAAAAGGTAAAAATAGAGTACACATAAGGATATGAGAAAGTACACCTTGAATTGAAACTCGGGGCCCTAACTCCGTTTTACAAACAGTTTTCACCGAAACTGTAATGTACTGTTCTGATTTTGACTGTCAAAACTGAAGGTAGAAGTTGAAATTAGTTCCAGAAAGAGAAATGTAGTTTTGATGGATTTGTATTAGCCCTAAGAAAAAGACTTAGTGGACAGTAGTGATTTTTCTTTCCACCACTCAAACTAGTCATGTGAGAAAAAAGGTCTGCTCTGCTCAAACAGAGAGTTTGTGGTAGACCAGAGCTCAGACAGTAGTTAGGGAAGGGAAGTACATGTGCTTGGCTTTTTCTGTCCAGCAATAATTTATTCTCTGTCTCAACAAGAAAAAGTGAATCATTTGAACTTAAAACAATGTTTGTACTTTCTTTAGGTGGACCATACGTTTTTTTCATTATGCACATCATCTCAAAGATACAAGCCAACTGAGCAAAGAAATCCTAAAATCCAAACTCAGTTGTACAACAACAACATAACAAGAGCTGCTTATGATACAAAGCACACAAATCCTCAGAATGTAAATCATTAACACAACATAGTGCAACTGGCTCCCATTCAGTGTCAGGAAACACTGATGGTGTTTTGCATAATCAAGAGCTGTGTGGCAGATAACAGCGTCTCCTGAGGAGCAGATGCTGGTTACTCAACAGCAGACAGAATAACAGACAGAGGCTAAAATAGATCGACTGCCACTTTTCTTTTTTACTCCTTCCTGAGACCCAAACTCCTCTTCAAAAGATGTCTCCTCAGCACTTTGCTTTGCCTTCCCTAGCACAGAGGTTTCCGGCCAACTTGTTTAACATACAAAAGAAATTACCTTGTGACAAAGTTTTGAGGTTTTGACCAGTTTAATCCAGAGAAAAAAAAGAAATAATAACTTTTTGACCCACAGCACATCTGGTTAATTGTGTTTATCATGCAGGGTCCTTTCACTCGTGCACATCTCATTACCTTCACCAAGTAGGTTATTATTAAAGGTCCAGTGTGTAAGGGATCTATTGCCAGAAATCTCATGATGTTTCACATTCATTTCATCTAAATTGTATGAATTGTAGTTTTCTTTACCACAGAAAAGGCCCTTTATATTTAAATTCTTTATATTTACATTGAGGGGACCCTCTCTATGGAGGCCGCCATGTTTTTTACATTAGTCCAGACTGGACAAACTAAACACCTTTTGAGGTTTTATGACAACTGAAGCTACCACAGGTTCTTTTTCATGTTTGGAAGGAGAGGGTGAGGTGAGGGGTGTTCAGCTGCAACATGCAACTTCAACACTAGATATCACTAAATTCTACACACTGAACCTTTAAGTAGGTTATTACGCAAAAACTACAGAAGCGATTTCCATGAAACTTTGGTATAGGATCAAGTATGCATCAGAAAAGAAGCCATTCAAATTTGGTGTGGATGTGGATAACTGGGTCGATCCAGGATTTGTTTCACTATCTTTAACATTGTGAGATATAGGGTATTATTCTTCCTGAACATGTTCATTGATTTCTCTAGAAAAAGAATTAAACGTGTTTAAAGGTGTTTTTGAGTGAGCAGATCTGAATAAAAATCTGAATCTAGTGAATTTAAATGTGGTTTCAAAAGGGGACTGTTGGGCCTTGGAGGATCTTTGCTCTACTGACTCTAGCGTTGGAAGTGTTTTGATGTGCATCTTTATGCTGCGCACAATGTGCAAATAACCCATAACACACTTTTCAGGAGTGTTCCCCCTGGCCCCCCCTCCATTTCACCTTTGTTATGCCAGTCAGAGTCATCACCCACTGTAAGCCTGACAATCAGAGGGATGTTTCTAAGCCTGATTAAAGGTTCAGTGTGTAGGATGTAAGGCAAAGGGATCTTTTGGGAGAAATCAGAATCAGAAATACTTTATTGATCCCAGGGGGAAATTGTGTAAATTGAACACAAAATAAACCAAGTGATGTTTTCACTAATGTGTGAAAATCTAAATTGTACAAATTGTTGTTTTCTTTACCCTAGAATGGGCCCTTTATATTGGAATACTTTATATGTTCACTCCTATATGGAGGCTGCCATGTTTTTTTACAGTAGTCCACTGGATGAACTAAATCTTGACTTTCATGACAACTGAAGGCTGCCACAGGTCCCCTTTCATGTTTGGAAGAGGACAGTGAGGTGAGACGTATTCAGCTGCACCACTAGATGTAACTCAATTCTACACAATGAACCTTTAAGACTGGCAACTTTCATTTAATCTAATAAGGTTTTGTGAGCTTTTCCTTTTTCTTTAGAGGGTCTAAGGGTCATTTTACTAATATTTCTATCTGTTGTTACTAATATGTAAGTGACAAAGGCAATTAAGGCAGTAACTGTGGGCTACATATATGTCCCCGACTTCCTCACATCCATCTAGACATATCAAACCGCTACAGTTACTCCAAAAAAAGTTTTTGTAGGAAAGACCATCCCTGCTTTTGAACCTTACACAGGGGAGGGGCCATCAGAGCTGGCCATAAGGGCCCCTAGATGGTGGCGAGCATGATGTGGCGGCAGTTGGCCTCACCACTCCTATCAGTCAGACCAGTGATTGTGACAGAAGGGGTTTATTAAAGCTTTGGGTGGTCGGGGCCAACAGCCAGATGTCACACTAAAGTTTCCTTCCTGTGCTGCCTGAGGGAGAGACGCTTGATTGCAACAGTGGAGGTCAAACACCTCCAACCAACCCAATCAGCAATATCCAACCAAACGCTAAACCTCCTTTTACATTTACTTTCACTCAGCTCCATTTTCATCTCCATTCTGCAGAGCTCAAAGTCACAACCTGCAGAGTTAAAGCTCCAAATTAGGGCTAAAAACCCCAGCATTTCATCAGATCAGTGTATATGCAGATAATCTCTGCACTTCCAGTCTAACAGCAACTCTGTACATTCTCAATTGTTCTGGTCATGGTTGACTGGTTCTTAATTAACCTTTTGACACCAAGAATCAGTGTCCAGCCTGCATTCAACCAGGCAGAGTGTTACAATGTTGTATTCTTGTTTTAAGCAGGTTAATTGATGATCTCTATTCAAGCATGAAGACATGGACCCTTGGATGGTGGAGAGAGCAATATGCTTCCAATAAACATGTAGTCAACAGCAGCTTTTCACCTGTCAACAAGAGTATAATGCATTGGGGATTTATGGCCACCCTCTACGATCCCACCTCTGTCAGTGCAGGAACCCTAACTGACCAGTAGAGTAGAGGATTCTCAAGCCACGACATTAATGCTCAAAACTGCAACCTGTGACTGCAACCCTTGTTTCGTGCCTTTAGTCCGTGACAACTGTTTAATCCAGAATTACTAAAGCTCGTGTTATGTGAGGTCACAGATCCTTCATCAAAATTGACAAGCTATGAGTAATGTGTTATGTTAGTGACCGCTGCATGGGTGGGGGGGACAGCTCATCCCTCTTTCAACACAGAGTCTGCCTCCTGATGAACAAAGACTCAACAAACACGCACTTCTCTCTGAATCTCCTTCTGAAACACATACATGTACTGCATATACGTACAACACAGAAAAGAAAAACTCTTGTTAGTGCTCCTGTTAGTGCTAATTTAATACTGTAAGGTCTACTTTTAAATCATGAGAACTAAAGCGCTCCTGGTCACTTTGCCCTCTAATATACTGCTTAAGATGTACATTATCAGTGGTGAATATCTAAAAACAGCAGGAATACTGCAGAAAAAAAAATCTTTCAGTTAATTTTCTGTAAAATTGCTTGTGTGTCACACTCTGGGAACACAACCGGTGGGCATCAGTGTTGAAACCATACTGCATGACTCATACAGGACATTTTAAATCTGTCTGCGTGTGTTTCCTGTGTTCTTTCATTAATTCCTTGTATGTAGTAAAAACAGTGTTTGCTACCTTATTTAGGAATTTGTTTTTGTGTGTGTGTGTTTTACTCACAGGTTCTGGCTGGAAGCATCTGCTGCATGAATACAAAGATATGTCATGTCCTGTAAAACATACATGAAAAACAATATCACAGCTGAAACCAGACACAGACCATGCATGTTAAATCTGAATAAAGGCTGGGCAATAAAACAACATCAATAATTATCACATTATCATTTCTGTCAATTGCAATATAGCAAAGGTCCAACATACGTATATTGATATATCGCTAATGCATTGTGTAAGCAGAGTGAGGAGATATAACACATCATTGATCTACCTCATATTGTAGAAGGTTTTCTGTTTATCAAGAGTAAAAATGAGTTTAAAACCACAACCTGCATTTAAGAGCAAAAATTCAGTCTGTAAACTACTTAAAACTATAACAATGGAACATTTATTGTGATAATTATTGATACAATTTGGGCTATATCACTAATGTTTTCTGGAGTTTAACTTAATTCTAATAAACAGAGTTAAATATATTTCCCAAAATGGAAAACATGTTGTGGATTCTACCAAATACACAGTTTAAAACCAATCATTGTTATCTGCTGTATATGTATATGTAGAATATATGTGTCTGTAGTAGGCTGAACTAAGACGGTTATAGCTAAAGATTCTTTAAATTATATCTGGTTTTACTATTGCCCGTCTTTAACCAAATGTACAGTCTGTAGAATTTAGTGATATCGAGTGTTGAAATTGCATGTTGCAGCTGAACACCCCTCACCTCACCCTCTCCTTCCAAACATGAAAAAGAACCTGTGGTAGTCTTTAACTATCATGAAAACTCAAAAGGTGTTTAGTTTGTCCAGTCTGGACTAAAAAACATGGCGGCCTCCATAGAGAGGGTCCCCTCGATGTAAATATAAAGTATTTAAATATAAAGTATTTAAATATAAAGTATTTAAATATAAAGTATTTAAATATAAAGGGCCTTTCCTGGGGAAAAGAAAACTACAATTCATACAATTTAGATGAAARGAACTAGTGAAAACATCATGAGGATTATTCTACATTAAATATCTGCCAATAGTTCCCTTTCACCTAAATCTTACACACTGGACCTATAATAGAATAGAATGCCTTTTATTGTCATTGTGCAAAGAAACTTTCACGAGATAAGTGATAACAACAAAGAGACTAAATAAATAAATAACTTCTCCTTCTCAGCCACAAAACTCCTCTGCTCCAACTATAACTCATCACCATCCCCTGCTGGCTGACAGGCCACATTACAATATTAAAAAGGCGTGAATGGTCTCTGCATTTACTGAGTTTGTACCAAGTACTTTTTTGATAGAAAATACCAGCCATCCTGGATTGTCCACTAACCTCAAACACAGGTTTTGCATTGTTGTACACAGACAGGATGTGGGTGATGCCATTCTTTGACAGACTTTCTCTGTTTTCTGAATCTGGGACAAGGAGAGAAAGTAATAATTAGTGAATTTCACACCACTCACTCAGACCAGTTGTATTGTAAGGGGCTGCAGAGGCAGGTCAGTCAGCTGTTTACTGTCCTGCATCATCATTTGGTACACTTTATCCTGTGGTCACTTGCTCCTGTCACTTGAACTATTCATAACCATAATGCTTGTGCCATCATGTGGAGCCATCATCATGGCAGCTAAAGATAGAAAGCTGCAAATGCCAAAGGGGCTGTTATACACCAGGGAACAAAAACACTAATGACTCTTGGCTGTTATTTTATGAGAGGCAGCAAAGCATAACAACTTTTAAAATCACATATTTGATAGATAAAACCCAAAGTACTATAAGGCACAGCATTTCAATATTCTGTAAAAATGCACAGTTTAAAATACCCAAATAACACAGGTTGCTATAATCCACCGCTCATTCCTACATGCATTTATGGCCTGTGAATGTGACCTTGTACCTTTTGTACTGACGCCTGGCCTGACCCTGCTATTCTGATTCAATCACATTAAGAAACATCAAATCAGTTCACATCATGTTTGTCTTACCTCTGATATTCCCCAGGTAGAGTCCATCAACAACCTGTGAAGCAGCAGTCACAGACATGTTGCACTCAGGTTAGATATTCATTACAGTCCGGCTTCAAAAACTTCACATGAAAGCAGCAAAGGTTGGTGGGTTGAGCCAGATTGGATTTAAGGCTTAGGGCTTAAGAACCAAGTACCAGCAAATGAAGAATCAGCTGCAGCCATAGAAGGCCTGAAGCAGCGATGTGTGATTATCGGTTCAAAAGTGACGAGCAGGGAGCAGCCGCTGAGATTTAGCTGCACAACTTAGGTACCACTACTACGAGAGGTCAAAACTCCAACAACTCCTACAGTATAGAACAGCACTACTGTCAGATCATTGCATTTATGTGTTTACCTGTTGGTCTTCAACATCGGTCTACACAATAAAACCATATGTGTAATATTGTGTAAACACAGTGAGGAGGTGTAACACTTAACTGTTCCACCTCAGATTTGTAGAATGTTTAGCTGTTTATCATTCTCTGCTCATAGAGAAGCGTTTAAAATGATAACATTCACCCAGGAGCAAAATGTGTAGGAAATGATCATATTTATCGTGATAATCATCGATATTGACTATATTGGCCATTCCTAGTCAAACGTTTAAGTCGTTCTATGTACTAAGCGTGTTGTTGTGATGTGAATTTTGCCAGAAACCTCTTCCCTGTTTGTACTTGCACTATGAGGCAGCATCTGTCTAAGAAAAAGAAGTAAAAACATGACAGAAAAACAAAAACGTACAGATGAAAAATACTTATGTAAGTAAGTACATACTTTCAAATTAAATGACAACATATATTTTCACGTTGTATTGCCAGAATAATAGACTGGGCATCTGTGTCATTATGTATGTTCACCATCACTGGTACCATACATGGGTGTATGGGCTGATAGTACAAATGATTAAATAATGTCTTAACAATGATTTGATTATCTATTGATTTGATCCTTGGAGCCAAGTTACATGAGCCCCTCACCCAAAGGTCAGAGGTCAGGATCAGCAACAGAGGATGATTGAATCAGTGCCCTGCTCGTGGGCACTGTGAAAAAATCTGGTCTTGTCAGCTGTGGTTTCCAAGTTTGGAACTAATTACTTGAAGCAGCACAAGTTCTGTGATTAGCTGTTTACACATTAAGGAAACATTGCACATGTTAAATGAATGTTAGGATCAGAACAAAACACGTGACGTGATGGACGTAGATGAGTCAGGCTGACATCACACACCAACACAACAACACACCAACACAACAACACACCAACACACCAACAAGCAAAGGAGCACGAGCAGAGCTTACCTTATTCATTCCATTGCCCATGATGACTGAACCAGTCCGGACTGTTTACATGGACTGTGAGTCTTACAACAGGAAGCTGAACTCTGCACAACAGCGACCGACCCCCGACCCAGCTGCTACGTGTGTTCGTTATGTGAACGCATCATTAGATGAGGTACACAACAAACAACCACAACATTCCTCAAACACTGACGTTATTCAGGCGGTGCAGGCAGCAGCTCCGTCACAGGGAGGCTTCTTCCGGATTGCTGGGAGCGCTTCATCCGGTAAGTGACGTCATTAGAGCGTGTCGCCGCCTTCAGAAACCGGCTGATATATAAATACTTTAATTTATATATATATACACACACACATATATATATGTACTCCGTGTGTACACTTATACACGTGTATTAATTCTAACCCAGCGAGCCAATCTGAGGATTTATTCATTCTACCAACTGTTGCTGCTTTTAAAACAAGATCAACTTTATTGATCCCACGCCAAACAGACAAGAGAACATGTGAAGGGAAAGAGAAGAATACAATTGGGCATTAAAAAGAAAATAAGAAAATACAGAGAATGTATACTGTATTTATGCATTAATCTATAGCCAATCAATTAATCAGTCAATCAGACTTAATTTACACACTTTTAAATTTCACTAGATCAAGATTTTTATTTGGATCTGTGCTGAATTGTACACACTTCTAAACCCCAGTCCCCTATTTTTTTCAATAATTAATACATGAATTTTTCTCTGAAAAAAGACAATTTAGAAAAATCACCATTTCTTGCAATAGGAAAGATTGTGAAAATCCTGAATCCACCATTTAATGGCCATTAAGAGCCCATTGAAAGCTTTTGCTGCAATGAAAAAAAATATCCATCATTTTAAACTGGGGGGTCTGCAGTTGCTATATTGACAGAATAGGTCAAATAGGAGGTCACCTTCAATTCTACCATGCTGCTCCAAATTGTACAAACGCATAGATATCAGTCCCTTAGATATAAACTATTTTTTTCCCATCAAGATCCAGGAATTATCCCCTGAGAATTTGGTGAAAACATCAAAAAATTTAGCTGGAAATGTTTAGAAAAAAGTGAAAAAAATACCTGCATTTGATCCGGATCCAGACCAAAATTTAAAGGGTTCTTCTTTGTGCCATGCCCCAAACTGAATGGAAATAAGTTTATTAAATTTTGCTTAATCTCAGTAACAAACAAACTAGAATCAAAACTGATAAAACTGTATATGCTGTGGACGCTGAATGTGCCACTGGATCAGTGAAAATGCGGCATAATCATATGGAGAAACAAGTTATCTGGTAAATGTCACTATTCTGACTGAAAAATGTTGATAGCTTTGGGTGAAGTGTTTGTGAAGTTCTGAAAGCTTACAAATGTATATAGTGCCCCCTCCTGACAGATATAGGAACTTGCCTGTGTATATACACTGCTGAAATTTACAGTAATATACGAGTTGAAATTCCATCAGTCAGATCACAGTGAGTGACAACCACGCATGTTCAAATGTCTACCATGACGCAGATGTGTCATACATGTCTGTCTATTGTTCAAAATGGCATTTGCCACTGTGATGGCAATAAATTAATTTAGTTGAATCTACTCAGCAAGGTCTTATTAGGCCACAGTGTTGCTTTCAAGTCTGTGCACTATTGAAAAATCTAAAAAAATATCAGTTTAGTCTTCATCGCACCCAAGAAACACACTTATATAAACCCAATTAGATATGTGTTCATCTTGAGGTCCCTACATGGGATGGGCTGTTCAGGTGTTTGACAGGGAGGCACACTGATGGGCAAAATACATGGATGGGTTATTTTGAAAGCCTATTGTTATTTTTCTTACTTTCTGTTGTATGTGGTTAAATTTAACAATTTAAACTACCAGACCAATGGAGACCAACATAGGTGACTAGCTGTTGAAAATAGTTTGAGATATTAAAGTGGTTAACTCGTTCATAAGATGATGATTGAGTTAGTGGCAACTTTACAACCATCTTTTAAAAAAGATGCACAGCTGCTGCTTCTTCTGAGAAAGATTCTTGGGAGCTAAAGGTACCAAACACTACATTGTTATTCTGTTAAAGATATAGATCATCATTCAAGCTCTTCTTACACTGTAAAATAGAAATTGGTCAACAAAGAGCAAATGACTTTGAATTGCCTCAATCCACTCCCCTAAATTTCTATATAAAACATAGAATGTAAAAGTATCATTGATGCAGAAGTCAAAGTCTAGACAATGGCATATGTTTTATCATTTTACCTTTATTCTCATTTCTATAATACACAATGACCTTAGGAGGAAGTGGTCTTCCAAATGCACAATCTGAGGTATGTGGACAATTGATAAATACAGAAATATAAGTATTTTTGTGTATGTGAGTTGGTCTGCCTTTATCTTCAAGTATGTATTATGGTCCTCTTGGTCTTTCACTTCTTCCACTGCTTGTTTTCGTAGTCCCACTTGGCAGAGAATCCCTCGACTGGGTTCATTCTCATGTCGAGCATCCTCTGCAGCTCCTTCTGTTTGTACTCAGGCTCGAATGTGTGTGGGACTGGTCCATACACTGCAGACAGACAATAGCACACGTCAAGCAATGAGCCTAATTAATAGTATAACAGATAACTGCATTCTTGTGTTTGACAGCCTTTTTTCTCATACTTACCAAACTTTCTCTGCCAGAGCACAACAAACCCAGTGAAGCCCAAAAAGAACAACACCCCTGCGAACACAGACTTCCACTCTGCAGATGCCTTGGTCATCTCTGCATAGCTCTGGTTGAAGCTGATGCGGTACACTAACAAGTAGAAACACAGGTGGTTAAAAATGTGAAAAAAGGGACTGAAACAACTAAGACAGTATTACAGGACTTCCTGGAGATAAAAATCAGTTCAAACAAATAGTTATGAACATTAGGGACTCTTAAAACGTGAAGTCCTACATGCAATCTTCTCCTCATTGGAGAGTGCAGCCCAGGAGCCCTTCTCCTTCTCCTTCAGGGACTGCTGCTCTGCACTCAGACTCTGCACATAGCAGATATCCGGGAGGGGGTTATCTGGCCTGTCAACGTAGGAAGGCATAGCGTAGTCCTCTATCTTAGCAACACCTGCAAGACACAACACAAAAACAACTCATCAAAATCACTTTTACTGGCACATAATGAATTTGTTTGTTTACAAATTCTTTACAAATACCAAATACTCTAAAACATTAAATAATGAGAAAGCAACAACATCTCAATGGCTGAATTTTGATCCACATTTCCTGCATGCTCCTGTTTCTGATGGGAGGTACTAACTCAAAATTTAGTCAAATCAGTGTGAAATAATTTAAATATATCCAAATATTTTTTGTTGAAGGCAAAAATCCTCTTCTTAATTTACGCTATCTCTATATATATATAGATTTTTCTTTCTGGGATTAATAAACTATCTGGACTTTTGAAAGGTCACCAGCTTCCATAAAATCGGATACCTACTTCTGTGACACTTAAGTAACCATCAACGTACAAAAATCTGAAGTAAACAGTGATTATGACACAAGCTGGATCTGTTGTTATATCACCCACCAGGAATAGAAAGTCTCACATGTCATTTGGAGTGGTACTCACCATGTCCTCCTCGTAAGCAGACAGATGTGGAGAGGGCACGTTTGCCAACGAGACTGAGAGCTCTGGCGGCCAGCATTCTGCTGAAAAGGTCACAGGACGGATATAAACTCATTAAAAACATTTACAAATATTATTGATCTTACAGCAGAAACGTTCCAACATCGTAAATGAAAAATGATCCCGTTCCATCAGGGGACGTCAAAATATGAGGATTTAAGAAACATTTCCCTAAAATGGTTAATAACGAACCAGCATTAATAAATAAGTCCGTTCTCCAACAATTGACAATCTAAAGCCACTAGAGGAAATTAAATGAGTTCACTTCGTGCACATGAAAAAAGGCGATTAGCTGTGAACATGTCAGTCGAGTTGTTGACGTTGGGGCAGCGCCTCCACCGAGGTGTTAGCCACAGCTAGCGTTAGCCGCACACACAAGGTCATAGCACCCGAGAAAGAAATAGCACAGAAACAACGGTTTCTCGGGGACATTAGAGTGTAACTCAACATTATCCAGCCGAACAAGACTACATCCATAAGCTACTTTAATATTATCTGTCTGCGCAACGCATCTGCCTTCGGGAATACGATGCTACTAGCTAACGACAGCTAGCCGGTAAGTTAGCTAGTCCTAGCTCCGCTCCGCGCCGACAAAGTCACCGGGACATTTCTGCTCATTCCGGTGAAAACAGCCGCTTCATGTTACACCCAACACGCGTGTAAAGTCCCCGTGTGTGCGTGTGTGTGAGTGTGTGCGTGTGTGTGTTTCCAGCGGCTCAGAAAGATGCTGTTGTTGAAGAAATAAAAACGACCTACTTTCTCTTCCTCGCTCCGTCAGACGATGCTCCTAGAAGGAAGTGTGATCGAGACCGGGAGCGGAAATACGTCACTTGAGTGAGCTACAACAGCGAGGTCAAACCTATGGGTCAAACTAGGCTACACGCTTGAATTTCCTCCCCCACCCGAGATGGCCGAGGACCGGACTCTACGCTGGCTCTGATTGGGTAAAAAAAAAAGACAAGCCCCTGGCGATTGGTTACATTAAGAGGCTGCTGTGACGGTAAGCCAATCAGACGCAGTGTGGGGGCGGATCTTCGCTCATCTCGGGTGGGGAAAAGCAGACACGGCGAAGGAGAAGACTACCTCGTTTTACGTCTCTCCACTGCGATCTACGGCACCACCGGGGCTGCGGAGTGGAACATAGATTAGCTTCTCTCCTCCTGCAACACCCGGGGACTCCTCCATTTATATAAGAAGAGTATAAACAGACAGTTGTGGTTGTAAAGCTTTCGTGTTCACGCTACAAGGCTCAGCTTCCACCACGTGTTGCGGCAGGAAGGTGTCTCTTCTCCGGGCATGATAAGTAACGATAGCTAACAGCAGCACTCCCTCCTTGCGTGTAGCCTCCTCTCGGCTGGACCTGTCTGTATTTTTCTCTGAATCATCCATTGTGCACATTGTCTTACGAACATGCCCATTCAGCTGACCAGCCAGGCTTACTGCAAAATGCTGCTGCATGCTGCCAAGTACCCGTGCTGCGCTGTGAACGGGCTGCTGGTGGCAGAGAAGACCAAGGAGAGGAAGAAAGACAGCCACGGGGACCCGGTCCTGTGTGTGGACTGTGTGCCGCTGTTCCACGGAACTCTGGCTCTGGCACCGATGCTGGAAGTAGCTCTAACACTGGTAAGTGTCCGTCAAGTTAAATATACACTCAGCAGCAAGTGCACTGGCAAGACCGGTCTCAACTTAATGCAGGCTAACACAAGTCAACGTTTTTGGTTGTAGATGAATAAATGTCAAAATCACCTGCTGATACAAGAAATAAAGAAACAGCACTAGAAGGATGTAGAGATTGTAATTGTTGTTAAAGGTTCAGTGTGTAGAGTTTAGTGACATCTAGTGGTGAAGTTGCATGTTGCAGCTGAACACCCCTCAGCTCACTCTCCTCTTCCAAACATGACAGAGAACCTGTGGCAGCCTTCAGTTGTCATTAAAACTCAAAAGATGTTTAGTTTGTCCAGTTTGAACTGCTGTAAAGAACATGGCGGCCTCTGTAGAGAGGACCCGCTCCTAATGTAAATATAAAGTATTTAAATATGAAGGGCCCATTCTAGGGTAAAGAAAACAACTATTCATTCAGTTTAAAATAAGAGAATCCTTTATTAGTCCCGCTATGGGGACGTTATAGGGGATTACATACTAGTAAAAACACATCATTAGCATAATTTTATATTCAATTTCTGCCAATAGATCTCTTTCACCTAAATCTTACACATGAGACCTTTTAATCCAGAGCAGTTTTAGATCTCAGTCATTTCAGCTACATGTACCTAATCACACTGAATAAAAAAACATTGGGAACACAACAATGAATTAAGTTTTTACTTTTCAAATTAAAGTAATGAATTGTTTCAAACCTTGTTGACTTGAAATTGAACAAACTTGATTCACTGAAATGTTTTTTTTAAGTTGGTAAACAAATGTTTTGCTTTTTTTCAGTGCAACTGCAAATTGAGTAGGTGTCTGATCATGTTTGTCTTTACTGTCCTTCATGTTGGCTACACATCTCCTCTTTCAGATCGATACTTGGTGTAAAGAAAACAACTATGTGATTGCTGGATATTATCAAGCCAACGAACGCACAAAGGATTCAAGGTACAGAAAACTCATTAAACCTTCAGGAAAACAACCAGTTATAAACTTTGGCACATTCTCCCTTGGACTGTGATGGATTCATAAATGTTTCATCCTCTCTCTTTTAGGCCTAATCAAGTAGCAGAAAAAGTAGCTGCCAGGATTTGTGAGAACTTCAGTGACGCAGCGATAGTCATGGTAATAGCAAATAATATCAACTGGTGTTAATTGACTCAAATGGTGGTTTTACATGTTTTTGTCCATTTACTATCTGTGTCTGTCTCCCAGGCAGGAACTACGTTTGATCTCTTTCATTGTGCTATTATAAATTGTTAGCAGCATGGCAAAGTACAGTAAATGAATTGTAAATGATTTCCCTAAAACACTGTTCTGGTCTTATAAAGTGGTACATAACAGTTATTTAACCTACACATGCAGTAGTTGCCACAAATTCCCTTCTTTCTGTTTTTCAGGTGGACAACAGTAGATTAACAATCAGCTGTTTCGAGCCCATTGTGCTCCTCTACGATCATCATGAAAACAAGTGGAAAAGCAGAGAAGTCACTTCGTAAGTGTGTCTGTGTGTGTGTTGGGGGGGTAAGGGTTCTTTCATTAATTCTTTGTATTTAGTAAAAACAGTGTTTGCTACCCTATTTATGAATTTGATTTTTTTGTCTTTCTTCCAGTGAAACATTTGAGGACTGGAGCGAAGCACAGAAGATCACGTCTGCGCTGTTAGAGGGCAGGTCCTACGAAAATCTGATTGACTTTGATAATCACTTGGATGATCTAAGGAACGACTGGACCAACCCTGTGATCAACAAGTCCGTCCTGGATCTCTGCTAAGACCCACAGTCAACAGCACCCTGGACACACACACACAGAAAATATTGCTGCCATTTCAGCGTGCATGATGCTACTTGCTGTGTAGCACAGATGTGCAAAAGTTCTGAACATGTCGTCTTTGTTCCATCAGAAGTTTTCCGTCTCTGATGGGAACATGTGGAGTGCTGACCAGTTCGGCCAAAATCTCTTAAGGGCAAGCACCATATGTGCACTGTTTGCATATGTCCGCCTTTACAAGGTGATGCTGAGGTGGAGAAGGAGATTTTGTTTTAGCATTTTTTTTCTGCAGTGGTGTGTTTATTCATAGTTATGCGAATAGAGTTAAATTCTAGAGTATTTCAACTATTTTTCCTCTCCAATTTTACAGAGAGTAACCATAGAGATTAAGTCCATAATTATCAATTAATTATTAAAGAAATAGATGATTTAACTATTGAGATATGAAATTAATGATAATGTTCTTTATTAAATTTTCATTTGTTTTGAACCTTGAAACTAAATCCACATGTTAAACTGTAGTCTGAGGATGTCTGTATGAAATTTGATTATTAAAAAAATAAACTAATGAAAAAAAAATAGATTACATAGAAAGAAAGAGCCAGGAATCTTTAAGGTCTTATTGGACTTAAAGTAACATGGCAGCTGGAGTCACTCTGGATGCACCAGCACTAACAAACAGGTTGTTGATTCAAGATATTTGAGTTTTTATTATTAATGCAAACATTTTATATAATGCATGTCTCAGAACATCGGTCTCAGTGAAATCTTATTTTGATTGATTGTTGCGTTGAAGATTAGCTCACAGCTCCACTGAATCAGATCTCAGGGATGTGTGCATTTTTTTTGTTGGCTGTCTGTTTTAAGAATTAGATATTGTAATATAATTTATACTTAATTGACCACTCTAAATTCATCTGTTACAGAAATACATTTGAATTCATTAGAAAGAGCTAATTACTTATTAAATTACTGTGGAAATCACATTTTTACAGGTACTTTATAAACTGAATGTATAATGAAACATTTTTTTGAAATTATAAAAGTCTCTGTTGGGCTCATGTCATTAAGTAAATGATTTTGTTTGATGTCTTTTACCACTGCCTTGACACTGATGTTGATACAAGTTTGAAATCATGCTTGGTTTTTTTTTTTTATGGSATAAAATAGTTTAAACAGGATTAGATTGGGGTTTTGCTGCTGTATCAACTGATACAGATACATGTGTGAAACTGATACATGTATGTTGTAATCAGAGAATACAGCTGACCAATGAAAAAACTGACTGTGCTTAATACAGCTTTTAGATTATGTCATCAAATTCACAACTTAAATTACATTGACACACACATAGGATACAAATGTACAATTGCGTATATATACAATTATATATATAAATATATATATATATAATTATATATAGTATATATATATACTTCAACACTAAAACTTGGTACAATTTCAGCATGACCACTTCTTTTTAAAAACTGTTTGTAATATACAGCAATAGTCAATAATTACATTGATTACCACAGGTTCTCTGTCATGTTTGGAAGGGTAGGTGAGATGAGAGCTGCTAAGCTGCAACATGCAAATTCACCACTAGATGTCACTAAATGTTACACTGAACCTTTAAGGTTATATTTTGAATAGAGAATGATTGTTTTGATGGTGTTAATGTTGTGAAACCTCAGTGAAGGATGAACACTTCCATCAGTCTTACTCTTCTACATAACAGTGTTACTCTATGGATAATATATATACATGTGTGAATAACTAATACTTTTAAAAAAAAGTCACATACTATTTTACAGAATCATTGATAAATATTTTCCATGTTTGCAATTACGTGCAACTGGTTTTACTGTCACGTGACCTTGACTTTCCGGGCTCAGACATTGTTGTCATGGGCAACCGGTTCCTTAACAAACAGCCTTTAAATTGTAATTCATTTATAAAATACACATCCAATAATAACTGGATTCCAAACATAAAGTGAGACACGGAAATAAATTGTAAAAGCGCATTAAACGACGCTAACTTTTTTTAAACATCTGACTTCCGGTTGCTTACGACGCTGTAGTTTCCGGTGTCTCGCAGCGCGGGAACGTTCCTCAGTGTGACGGAGAAGTTTGTGTGAAACAGAGAACTCACGGACACGATGGATCCTGCGGAGGTGGAGTTCCTCTCGGAGAAGGAGACGGTGAAGATTATTCCAAACTTCAGCCTGGACAAGATCTATCTGATCGGGGTAATGAAATGCGTTGTGTTCGTTAGCGCGTTATTTGAAACGGATCAACAAATGAGCGTAAACCAAACCTGACATCTGTCCATGGTGGTTTCTATATTTACCTGCTCAGTGCAGCAGCCATGCATGAAGCCACAGCTCCTCTGTTCACAGCTCCTGTGTGTTAGTAAAGATGGAGTCCGGAGCTTCTGTGTGTGGACTGAGGTGTTTTTGCTCAGTTACGTGTTTGTGTCTCTTCAGGGGGACCTGGGCCCCTTCAACCCGGGGCTGCCAGTGGATGTTCCCGTGTGGTTGGCTCTCAACCTGAAGCAGAGACAGAAATGCAGAATCGTTCCTCCTGAGTGGATGGATGTTGGTAAGAGTTAAAAATAATAATAAAACACCTACATGTACATTCACAGTAAATGCAGGTGTTTGACATGGCTTCCACAGCAAAGGCTAAGAATTGATGATCCTATCACTCAAAGTTATTGTATAATTGTCATAATATGCAGCAGCATTGTAAATACAAAGTTTGATTCTCACCAAAAAAGGAAAAAATAACAATTTAAATTCTATTGTTTTTACACGTGTCTGAAGACACTGTTTATGTGTGTGAGTGCATGTGTGTTTGTGTCAGTGCCNGAGTTAAAAATAATAATAAAACACCTACATGTACATTCACAGTAAATGCAGGTGTTTGACATGGCTTCCACAGCAAAGGCTAAGAATTGATGATCAAATTAGTGTTTGTTTGATTTATTGATTTATTCTACCACTCAAAGTATGTTTTTATCATCCCTTGTGTTCTGGCAGAGATTTAAGAGGATAAGTCTTTTCCTGCTTTTCCACAACTTTTAGACACATTCACACAAAAGAAAATCCCTCAATGCATTAAAAATGCATCGACTGGGGATTTTTTTTTCTATGTTTGCAATAGACGTGGGATGATGTGTAATAAAAATGGGATCAGGGATGACTGAATTATTTTCAGAATCAAACACAGGCAGTTCAGTAAGATTATTTCCCTGAAGTCTTTCTAAATATTCATATCAATGTTATGTAGTGTATTGACATTTTCAAGTTGTCGGATTACTGACTGTGGAGCTGGTAGTTTTATAGATTTAGAGGATAGGGCTGTTGTTATTCTATATATTTCTTATTTCTAATAAATCCCAAGCAGGAAATAGTGTATCCTTCATATTTTAGTAGCCTTTGGAAAACAATAGAACACTAAAGTTGAGAGAAATGTGTTATTTCTGTTAGGAGGATGCTTTCATTGGTGAATGATTTAATGGAAATATTCTTATCCTTCATGATTTCTGACCTTTCCTTTGCAATTCAAATCCAAGAATATAGAGTGGGAAGATTAAAAAAACCTCAGGGAAACATTTGCTTATAAACACATAGAGATTTGCTTTATCTGGTGATTTGGCTCATGATATTTCTGTTTGAGACCTTTCTGCTGTTGATGCTCTGCTCCAATGTGCAGAGAAACTGGAGGAGATGCGAGAGCTTGAGAGGAAAGAGGAAACTTTCACTCCTGTTCCTAGTCCTTACTACATGGAGCTGACCAAACTGCTGCTGAACCAGTGAGTCGTATAAACTTAAAGTTGATTCATCATCCTTGTATTTGTCGCCCTAGTTCAGTTGATGATTTGTATGTTTCTGTAGCGCGTCAGATAATATTCCTAAGGCTGATGAGATCCGCACGCTGGTCAAAGACATTTGGGACACGCGCATTGCCAAACTCCGCCTGTCCGCCGACAGCTTCATCAGTCAGCAGGAGGCTCATGCCAAGGTACCACTGACCACAAAGAAGCATGCTCTCTACCTGAATTACAAAGTTGCATTAACATAGTACGATAGAACTTAGTACGATGTTGTAGAACTGAAGAAAACAAATCAAAATATTTGGGATTTTCCTCTTATTTTGAATATTTATTTCCTCTGATTCACAGGGAGATTGACAGCAGGAGGACAGTCATTAAAGAGTAAATGTAATATTTGATCATTCCTTGTTAAAAAACTAACCTTGTCTCCCGCCTCTCTCTGCGTCCCTCCCTCTGTAGCTGGACAACCTGACTCTGATGGAGATCAACACAATTCGAGCGTTTTTCCTCGACTCTCTCAACTTTATGTACAAGCTACGTTCCAATATGCAGCCTGGTTCCAGTAAAGGAAACTTAATGGATTATTGATCCACTAGTTGTGGATGTGTGAGTAGTTCATGCTCATGTTTGGATATTGTTTGAATATTGTCCCAATGACTTGGGACAAGGCCTTGGACCTGTGGACTTATTAAGAAACAGAAGAAAGCGGAAGAGTTTTCCAGTTTTTTAAGGGATTACACTTCTCGCGGGAAACGCATCCATCTGTACATATTGACAAGCATATAAGCTTTATATGCGTCTGCTGTTTGCGATGTGCTTATTTAATTTAATGTCATGTAGGAGGCTCGTAGCAGGTAAAACAACCAATGTAACAAAATAAATGTTTTAATGTGTATGTGAAGTAGTGAACTAGTGTATATGATCTTCTTTATTCTCTATTTTTCATTTTTGTGCATGAATAATTATGTTTATCGTACTTTTGGTTTAGCATACATGACAATCATTTATTTTTGAGCATACTAGTTTAAGTCCTTGTTGAGAAATTTGCCTCTTTGTGATCCAGTGTAAATATCTAGAAGACATAGTGCATCATCCTTAGACCAACTCCAGTTTGAGGTTAGTGCATAACTCGAGGGTAAGTAAATGTCTTAAGTTGGATGGAAATCCACATAAATATAGTTCTTACCAAGGATTGCTGTATTTTAATCTTAAACCAGTGACAGGGTAATATCATCAGGCTTATGATTAAGTACCAAGTTAACCTATTTATGAAAACTTCCAGGAATCTTTATTTTATTTGTGCAGCACGTGTGAGGGTTTGTTGTCTACCTGTCTGTGAAGTTGTTAAATGACTATACCAGCACCCACAAACATACAAAGGTTGGTATTTAACATTTTTGAAATATTTTATTTTCTTTTTTGTCTGAAATCACAGCCATATATTCATAAATACCTAATTACTACATTCAACAAAGAATATATTACATTACAATGAATTCAAACAAGTACATTTTAAAAACAGGATTTCACAGCATCTAGACATCCTCCACTGAGTAAGGGGGCTATTGCAGGGGCGTGCGTGGGTTGGAGACACAGGGGATGCTGGGTAAGTGGGGCTCGCTGTACGGCACCGTCCTCCCCAGCTGATTGGCTGCTTCCCTCAGTGTGCGTGCTCCTTCATTAACTGGTGGGCTGCGCTCTTTGCTCTTTCCTGCTCTGTAAAAATGACAGATTATACTGTATCCCTCCGATCCTCTGAGGCCTCCTTCATAAAAAAGATGTTATGATAAAATTGATTCTTGGAGATGCTTTCGGATAAAGGGATTCTGTACCCGTTGACTTGGAAAGAGTCAGAGACAATATAAAATGTCCCTTATTTTTAATTTTACGTGTAAAATGTCCATGTGGACTTTAACTCATTCACATGCTCCCAAATTCTTGAGGCACTTGTAAATCCTGCATTTTAAGAATGGGGGAAATTGTGCTTTTATAAGTTAACTTTATGCACATTTTCTTTTTTACTTAGAAAAGATGAAATCTCTTATCCCACCACCAAAAATCAATTATCCATACCCGGAGTAGATGAGCTCTTGGGTTTACTATCGCACATATGACTATGAGGCTGAGGCGACATTAGATATCGGACAGAGTGTCAGTGTGACACGAGCAGAATTAGGAGGAGGAGGGCAGACAGGTTGTAAACAGGTATGAGAGCAGGTAAATGAAACCTTTCTGATTTTATGAGAGGAAAAACAGTTTGAATTGACTTTGTGATTTCCAGTTTATTTGTAACTTGTTGGCAACTTTGGGTAGCAAGGGCCCTAAAAATGGGGGATGTGCTGGGATGGAGGAGTATGTTATTGAGAAGTGGAAGATGGCCGTTCTGGTTTGAATGTTTGGCTACCTAATTTCAACTTTAAATCAAGAATCCGAGATGCTACCATTTGCTTTTTTATTTTGGCACTATATCCTCTCATGACGTTAAGGGCTTGATCTTAAAAGTCGGATGCTGTTTCAGTCCAATGCTACATTATGTTGAAATGAAGGTGAAGGTCCGACGTCAAGAGAAAGCATCAAGAACAAGTTTTCATCAGGCGGCTGCTTAAAGAGACTCTTCATGTCTTTAGAAACCAAACAAGCGAGTGAAAACGTAATGTGTCGCTGGATCTCAAGTTGTGAACGTGGAGATAACTGGTCATGTCAGCGGCAGTGAAGCCGACAGGAGGAGCTGTTGAAACGGGGATTAAAACAGAGACATGTTGCTGTGAAGAAGGCGTGGGGGGTGTAACGGGGCAGGAGCCATGTCTCAGGACCTCTGACTGAGCTTCTCTTAGCTCAGGGGTCTGGCTGAGGCGGCTGTGGCTGGGTCTCGGCTCCACGGAGCCTGGAGTGAGTAACGAGAAGAGAAGCGTGTATCCTGTTTGCTCTCACTCTGCTAAATGTCTCAGAATGAGCTGTTCTGGCCAGCAGCAGTACAAACACTAAAAGCAAGGCTTTTCTTTTCCAACCCAAAAAAGCATAAACATATAAAAATGGCAGGCTTTCTTTTAAAAGAAAAATGATTAAAGTAATAAAAACATACAAAATTCTTTTTAAGTCTTCATATTATATACAATACAAGGCTGAAGCACCTTTTAAAATTCTTAATTCTCAAATTTTCTATTTCGAAATAAAACATTTCCTTAATTCTTTCCCAAAAAATGTGCATTTTTCTAAGTTCTTCCCTAATTTTGAGCAGTTCTTTGTTGTAACACAGTACCACCAGGAAGTTCTTCAGCGTTAAGTGCATTTCCAGTTCAAAAGCTCATGTGGCCGCTGTGATGAAAATCAGTCCCGACTGGCCAGGAGCCTTCGTTGGAGATTTTTGGAGTCTGTTGACGACACCCCTCCTGGGGCAGCTGCTCCCTCATTGGCAGGATTGTCTGTGTAGATGTGGCAGTGAGGGACGCAGGGACTGAACAATAGAGCAGCAGGGACCAAAGAGTGTGTGAGAAGCAGGTGCATGTGTGTGTTTGTGTTGAGCTTCAGGTACTCCTGCCCCGGAACTCACGCTGATCTTGGGGGTTGGCTACATTGGCACACGTTTGGTGGCTTGTGGCGCAGGCCCCGGCTGGCCACAATCCAAAGACTGCCTGCCCTTCACTGAACGTTCCCAACTCCTGTGCATTCATCAATCCATTCACTCCGTTCATTCATTCATCTTATCAAGCCTGCCACGCTCTCCTGTGTGGAGCCAAGCAGACCAGGCTATGAAAAATAAACTCTGGGTGTCAAGTCTGAAAGGGAGGTGGCCGCGGCCCAGGAGCCATCAGGTCGGCGTGTCGGGGTCACCTGGGAGGGTAGCCCTTGTAATGGCCGCCTCTCGGCCAGTGTGTCTGTGGCAGCGTTAAACACTTCCTGAAGTGCTCCAGCTCTGTTTGTAACTTCTCCCGCTCCATTGCCAGCTTCTGTCTCTGGGACATCAGCTCCTGCACAACCAGAGAGGGAAAGAGACCAACAACAATGAGGATGGGATTTCCTTCTATACAACAATGAAGTGTAGAATAATAAAGAATTGCATGTATGTATTCCTGTTGTCTATGTCCTCTTTGAGATATTTTAGTATTTGTAAAGAGTTCTGGGATTATACATATGATTATTTACATATATTTATTATTTCATTCTACATTACAGAGCAGCACCTTCTATTAATGTGCAGTAATGTTAAGCTGTGTCCCTGCACTTTATTTCACTGAATCTAATTAGCAGATTATATGAGAACATTATCATGTTTAATTATGAAAATATCTCTGGGAAAGCTTTTGATTGTCTTCATTTATTTAAACACAAAGAACTGAACCTCACTGCCAACATGTGTTTGTAAATGTGTGTTTGTTGCCATGATATTAGAGGCTGCTTCTCTTCAACAGGTTTACAAAACAACAACCAATCACTGCATTAGACTGGAGACGACTGAACTCGTCCTGTTATGCTGCAAATCAACATTCAAATCAATGACTTGCCAGTGGTGTAGTTACTTCAGTTAGTAGCTTTGTAGTTGTTGAACTATTTTGTTCACTCTGTGCATGTTGTGTGTGCACAACTTGCTACACAATGGTTTAAGAGAGACTTGCACAAGGAAATCAAATGAGCAGATTTTAGAAGTCACAGACTCACACTAGCAGTGGGGTGTTTGTGTGTGGGTGTGTGTGCACATGCGTCTTACCCCCATGCTATGAGACAGCTGCTCAGCAGTCAGACTGAGGTTGTAGTTCTGAGCTTCTAGTCTTCGACACTGACTCTGCAACACTTGCCGCTCCAGACTTTGCTCTAGAGGAAGGAAGAAAAAATATAACAGGGGTTAGAGAACTATAAAGAAATGAAGATAGTGAACAATGTCTACAGCAGACTGAACATACTGAAATACAACAGTGACACATCACACACATCAAGATGGTCTCTGTCCTTGACTTATATACGTATTGTGAAAAAAATATTATTTGACCTGAAATCATGATAATACATATCACATCAGTTCCTAGTTTAAGAATCTCTGAACTTCCTGCCATTAAAACCTGCTCGTGTTGAATTGTAAAATACTGTGTTTGCAAGTAGACTAATATTCAAGACTCACATTCAACACTTTAAATCATTCTTAAACAGTTCTTGTAGAGGGTTAAAGGATGCCTCTCTTCATCCAACTGCAAAACTACTGTGCAGTTCATGTCTGACGATGAAGACGTTCCTTATTATCGTGCTGCCTCATCATCACTCAACACTTTGTATCCTGCACTGTATTACAACTGGCAAAACATTTTATCAATAATTCTCTGTGTCACACGGTGGGATGGACCTTCCCACAGTCGAGGAGAAATAGGATCTTGTTTTATTCTTTTAAAAATCTGCTCTCTCATTTTAATCTAGTACGAACAGTGCACAGTTCACAGTTTAGGAACTCCGCACCAGTAAAATGAGATGAACTACAAACTGCCCTCAAATCAGAATCTTAGATTTCTTTCAGACACTTTTAAGTTTTGAAGGAAATGTTTTTTATTGACTCTTATAACCGTTTTTCTTAATTTCTTGTTTTTTTGCTTCCTTGAGTTGAATAATTGAGAAACAGAAGCAATCAACAAAATAAAGACGGCACCATTCTCTCATGAAAAATAAATCATTATCTCAGTGAGACTAATTAAATAAAGATTAAATAGAATTAAATATATTTGGACATAACTGAGCTGTGTGGAAAGGATAAATACCACCCTCTAGTGACACGAGAATGCTACAACAACCTGAGAATCTTTGGTCTTAGGTGTTTTAGCTTTTTTAAATATTTTTTTATGAATTAAATACTACACTCCTGTCTATTTAGTCTCCAGTTATATTTGCTGCTATGTAAGAAATGGTTTGTTAACCACACAAATTAATTGACACAAAGAGAAACACTAATTCATGAAACTGCAAAGTGATGTGATCAGTTTTATGGAGAAAAAAAATGTGCCTAAGGTTTTTATAGCAGCAGCAGAATTAGTACAATCACTTCATATTTAGTGTGGCTGCTTACCTTCTACATATTCCTGATAAGCTTCAAATATAGATTCAATCCCCCGCCACTTGGAGGCAGGACCCTCCTCTTCCTCCTCATCCTCCTCTTCCTCAGAGTCCTCGGGACCAGACATGTCTTCTCTCGCTCCTGACACTTCCCGCTGCAGCGGCACTGAGAAGTGCTGCCCGTTGGGTTGAAGGTGAGGGTGAGTGTGCGAGAGCGGATGCGGAAATGGATGTGCATTGGAGTGAGACTGTGAGTGTGGCGGCGGCGGTCGGGGGCCAGGGGTGCTCTGCAGCTCTGGAATGTTGTAGTGAACTGATGACTCCTGGGGGTGGGATGACTCCGACATCCCTGTGGCTCCACCTAGAGTACAAGATGTCAGAGAAGAATAGATTTATCATTTCTTTATTATTTGAGACAACTAAACAGACAACAATATTGAAAATATAGAGATTTAAAAAAAAAAACTATTTATCATGCAAAAGCCTTTATGTATTGGTTATTTGTATTGGAATGTGACAATGCACATTATTTAACCTTAGAGTTAATGCAAGGATGAACTAAAGGCCTATTTTATGGAAATCTAATCTAATTAAAAACATAATGAACATTGAAAATGATGGTTATTTGAAGCTCTAAATTTTTATTATACCAACCCAATAAGAAAATTATCTTTTTGTTTTAATCAGAAAACAAATCTGCGGTTTATGTTTTCGATGTTGTGCTTCCATTACAGCAGGACTGATACTGGCCGACCTGTAGGTTGCACCTCAGTATAATTCTGTTGCTCAGTAGTCACCTTTGCAAGCATATTTCTTTAACTGTGGCTTGTGCGTCTAACCTTTGTGTTTCTGCAGAGACTTCTGAGTGGACTGAAGCACAGATTCATGGAATTGCTGAGCAAATTCTTCTGGCGTGAAGCTGTCCCAGGGTTTGGTGCGTCCGTTGATGCTGTGATGGCCCTCTTTCGCCTGATGGGGGAGTGCAGGTCGCAAGCTGTTGAGCAGACTGGAGCTCCTCTTAGAGATCGGTGCTTCGCTGGGCCCCCGGGCCTTGTCTGGGTAGACAGCTGGAGAAGGAGGTTCCTTTGGTCTTAATGTGTCCCCTAGGGGTTTCGGGTGTCCACTGGGGGACGCTGGGCAATGCGAGGAGGGGCTCTGTGGTCTGACGTTGTTGTGGTCCTCTGATTCAGAGGAAGGCTGAGCAAAGGCAGAATCTGCAATCATTTGAACACATGTGTCATGATGAGGTCAAGATGTGCATAACCTACAAACATTGCAATTAGAAACTGTTGTTACTTTAGATGCATTTCCCATACAAGTGAACAAGTGAAACACCACTCTAACCCAATAGGATACTTGATCAAGTCTGCACGTTTATGTTCCTAAGTAAGAATCTCACCTGTGATCTGAGCTGACGGGCTCTTACACAGCGGATGAGCGGCATGTCTGATGGTATCCAGAGTTACACTCTTTTCTTTTATGGCCTGAAGCAGCTCCACCACTTTTTCATTATCTGAGAGACAGAGAAAAAGAATAATTAGTAAAACCTTTCATTAGTCCTGTCTGCATGTATCTTACAATTCCATAAGCAGTGATGCTTCCCTGTTTCATGTTTGTAAGGCTGTGTACTGCCCTCTATAGGCAGCAAACAGGTTTAGATGGTAACGACACACACTGCTGCTGTTCCCAATTCCTCTGCAGTGAAAAGTGCTTCCGTGTGCATGTGTGTAGCTGCATGCTTGACACCACCTCAACCTTTTTAACTAAGACAGTGTTAAGTATTTAATTTTAATTTTTTTTTCAAAGCTTGAGTCAACATGCTAATGACAACATGGCGCAGGCAGAGTTCTGAAGTGCAGAATCAGGAAGTTATAGAGCTGACGGAGGATGCTACTCTCTAAAAGCTGAAAGAACATGTGATCAGTGTTTCTCTGCTGAAATTTAAAAAAAGTCAAAAGCAGAAACAGGATATATGAGCAATGGAGTAATGCTGAGTGGTATGTTACAGGCACTGAAGGTCTGTTCTATGAGGCAGTGGTTTCTAGAAACCTTGCTGAAACAATGCTATGCGATTCCAAAAGACAATGTTTTTATTTATATATATATATATATATATATGTATTGAGATCAATTAAAAAAGGCTCCTACACACACCAACCTGTTACTTAAACAAGAGTAGCTAAGAGGCATCTTCACACACTGTTAATTATTACACTAATTAATGACGTTTTTGAAACATAATTAAAGAAAACAGTTGGAAGCATCACTTGGTGTTTCTGACCCCAACCATGTCCTGAAAAGTTAAGGCCAACTGTAACCATCAAACCACAAATACAGGATTCCTCTGTACAACAATGTTTAACTTAAGCACACACGTGATGTACGTTGAAGGGACTGGAAATGATTTTGTGATTTTAATGTTGAGTAAATTTCTATATCTTTGTCTATCGTGAGAATTGGATGTGATTATGCAAACAGAGCTGCTGTGGTGCAAGAAAATCTCAAACTGATCCAATAATGAGGTATCATCATCATCATCATCATCAGGAGAGAATGAAGCTTTTAAGGTTGCAGGTCCAGATGTTTTTGTAGAACTAATCTAACCCCTGACACCAGTGATCGCAAGACTGAAGAGACTGGAACATGTTTTGGGGATTTAATGGAATCAAACTAGGCTAATTTATGTCATGCTAATTAGATAGATAAAAATAAAATGCTGAAAAAAAGAGTCCACACTTGTTACGTCACATGTGTTACTTCATGTATGAGTAACCATAAATTCCCTTTTACCTCTTCTCTGCTGCACAGTGACATGGGACAGTTTGAACATGGTGAGGAACCGCTTCTTATCCTCCAGCTCCGGTGCTCGGTCCATCTCCTCCGGGGTGAAACGCGTGCTGAGTTGAGGGGGGGGAGGAGTGCGTTTTGATTGCGAGGCGGGTGGAGAGGGGCTGCGCTCCCTGAGCATCCTCCTCCTCTTCCGTCTCTTCTGCTGCACCAGCTCGTCCCGCCTTCCCGCTGTGGTCAGGCCAAACACTCCCAGAAAGTCCAATTTCTGCTCAGAGAATCGAAAAAGAAAAAAACATCCCCTTACTGAAATGTTTTATCATGAGTGCTTGTGTGTGTGCTTCCATCGTAGAAGGCACAGGAGACGTGTGTGTTGGCAGGTGTGTTTTACCTCGGTGGTGTCATCCAGTTTGAGTGGCGGCTGCTCTGCCACTCTCCTGAGATGGGCTCTCACCTCCTCCTCATCACTCTCATCATACGAGTCCTCCAGCTCATAGTAATAACCTGCAGCAGACACAGGCGTCATTAGTGATGCTGCACTAAAATTCTCTAAAAAGTTGATTTATCACATTAAACATGCTGTGACTAGTGTAGGTAACAAAAGGCTGGTTATACCTTTCTCCCTCGCCTCCCTTCTCCTCTTCTCCTCCAGGTCCAGCTTGCTGATTGGCCTTCGGTGCTGCTGAAGGTACTCATCGAAGATCAGCATTGTGTCCGGGCCCATTCCCAGTGTAGCTACCTGTCCCATCCCTGACCCAGAGATTAGTCCTAGCCCTTGTCCGTGTCTACTGTGCCCTGGGTGTCCCTGGAAGCTCTTTTGTCCAGCGTTGCCTTTCACAGCTCCCTCCAGCTCGTACTGGCTGGACAGCGACAGCGATGATCTCTGCTGGCTGAAGAAGGACTGCGTGGATTTCTCCAGATCAGCAAGGAACGTGCTGGGCTCCGTCAGGCCTGGAGGACCTCTCAGTGGGGGGTATTTCTCCATTGCTCCCCCTTCTCTCCTACGGGCTCCGTCCTCAAATTTGGATGGCCCCGGGGGCAGCCGACTGAGCTCATAGTGTCCCATCCCTGAGGGCTCGTGGTTACGTCTGGAGTCTGAGATCGTTTCTATGAGAGCTGCCGGGTTCCACAGGGTGGTGGGAGGTGGAGGGTGGTGTTCGCGTGGTGGCTGTGGAGGTTTGGGGGAGATGAGGGGAGGAGGGGCGCCTAAGTGAGCGTGGAGGTCCCGGCTTCCTGGCTCATGGTGATTTGTTATGGATCTGTGGAGATACAATGGAGCAGGGATGGTGCATAGCTGTTAGACATAGAGCACAATGCCCATATTGAGAAACAGTGTTTCCCAATCACACATGTGATGCTAAGACACACAACATACACCCTGTGAGTACGTCTGTGGGTGTATGTGTCTGTACAAAGCAGTGTTATCAAGCCCAGGCAGAGTAGCCCAGAGCAGAGTGAGGATGTGGCCAAGGCACACACTGTCCTCCAGATATGAGGCCTGGTTTTGATCTGTTAGGCCCTTGAAGTGTGGCACGCATACACACACACACACACAAACACACAACACACACACAAACACACACACAGAGGGAAAGAGAGGAAAGGCGAGCAAGTTCAGAGGGGCCAGGAGAAATGTTTTCCTGACAGACAGACAGACAGGCAGAAAAATAGCAGGAAGGAGAATGATGGATTGTTAGTAAGGAATGACAGTTTATTATATGAGAGAGAAGAATAGAAAGGGAGAACAAGGTTGAGGAGGAGAAAAGGTATGGTGGTGAAAAAGAAGCGGAAGTGAGGAAGAGGGAAAAACAGATGGTTGAAGGGTAGTGTGCTTCCCGTTTGTGTTTGCATTTCATGCACACGTGTGTGTATCAGCAAATGCGTGTGTTATCCAAAATCTGCAGAGAGATTCTGCATGAGGTGTGATTCTGTGATTATATCATAGGGTTTTTGATAGCAGACGTGTGTGTGCGTGTGTTTTCGTCCTCCGAGTTCAGCATTAACCACAACCTCACTCCTAAATCGCACACAACAACAAAAACACAGTCACAGTAACAAAGCAGGGTAAGTCGAGGGCTTAGGCCGTGCAAGGTTGAGAGGATTATCCAAGAATTAGCCTTTGTGTATCTTAGCCGTCGTACTCGCTGCCTGTTTGAAACTGCTGCCCACTTCTCATGGAACAGCACTCATCAGGACCCTACGTCGACATCTAAACATAGCTGCCTGTTTTCCTACGTGTCAGGCCTGGAAGGTAGCAAGGACAGAAATAGAGTAGATGAGATGCTTCTGACAGGGTTTATCTTCTTTTTTTTTTCAGCCCTGCCTGAAAACAAACTTCTAAAGCCTGCCAGCTTCTGAGGCTTCAAAACAAAAGCACAACTGTCCACATCAAGCGAGAAGGGACAGACGAACACCCCACAAAATAAGGTGTACACCTTTGTAATGCAGCTTGTCTCTATCAACTGCACAACCGCCACAATATGAAAAAATAAATACTTCTGCATTGTATGAATTATAAAATCGAAGTAGGTTTGAAATATCTGCACATTTCTGTCTGTCTCACCTGTGTGCGTCTGTCCTGTGATCTGCTGCGTCAGCCGGACGGCCCAAGTCCAAGTGCTGCTCCAGAACCTGCTGACGAAACTCGGACACCTGGTACTGACGATCCTCCTTCTCCTGCCGCAGCTTACGTTGCCGTGCCAACCACCTCTCCTCCTCGTTGTTTCTCTGAGCGAGCAGTGAGGCCGAGAGCCCCGACCCGACAGCGCTGGGTCCCATGAAGAGACCGTGGCCTGAGATTAAACCGGGGACGGGATGATGCGATTGAACCATTGGAGAGTGTAGTCCTGGTGGGACAGGTTTGGGAGCTGGGAGGGCGGGCTCTTTGGTTTTATCTGCAGAGAGAGAGAAAGGTCAGTGCAAACACTCGGTTATTATAGGGCTCCAACCAATTATTATCATTTGATGCTCATTTTCTCATCTTATCGATGTGTTTGTATAAAAATATTAGAAAATAGTGAGAGTAAGATATTTTTGTATTTGAGATTCTGGCGCCACTGACTTTTTTAGCAAACAGGTGACTTATACATGTAATACGTAACTTCGTCCACTAGGGGTCTCTAAATCAAAACAATGACAAAAGATCTAGTTTGATGTTGTTGTCGTCATCACCATTGCCAAAAAAAAAAATCAACCTGACGTGACTCAAATCATGTTCACGGATCAGGTGATATGTTTTATTCACATAACGCAGCAAACAGCAATGAATAATAGTGATCCACTGTGAGTGAACCATACAAACAGGGGATGGAAAAAACTGCTGGAATATATCTATAAATTATTAATTTGCAGCAATTGTTGCAGATTCCTTTTCTTTCCATCAATTAATTTGGTTGGTACAAGTGTGGACAAGTGTATATGTGTATACACTTTTGTTCTGTTGTGTTATTATATATTTGTCTTTATGTGAGGCAATGGACGTCTTGGGATTCAAGACGAATTTCAGAAGAGATTCTAAAAATAAAGTGTAATCTACTCTAATTGTAGTTAATAGATTCTACAGGGGAAGCACAGACACATACCAGCCCGATTAGGGGTGAGTCTCTCAGGCTTGGTTCGGTCCTCCTGCCCTCTGATGGCGTGGAGCTCTGCCAGATAGTGGCTCTCCATGGCCTTCGATGCCTGCAGCTCCTTCTCCCTAAGCACTCTCTCCTTCTGCCTCTCCAGCTCCTTCTCCCTTTCTCTCTCCTTCTCCCGTTCCCTCTCACGCTCCCGTTCTCGCTCCCGCTCCCTTTCCCTCTCCCTCTCCAGCTCCTTCTCCCGCTCCCTCTCTCGTTCTCTCTCCCGCTCCTTTTCTCTCTCCACCTCACGCTCCCTTTCCTTTTCGCGCTCTCGTTCGCGCTCCCTCTCTCTTTGCCGCAGCTCATCCTCCAGCTGAAGCCTATAAAAGAGCAGTGGACAGGGGTAACACAAGCAGAAAGACGATGGACGTTAAATTAGAAATTCAATTTAGATATTCAAAATCACAGCTGATATCTAAACATGTTCTTCTATGTTAGTGTGAGGGCCTTTACCTCTCAGACTGCAGTGCTGACAGTGAAGGGTGTGTGAAATCTCCAGGGTAGCGGACCCCTTGCAGGTGCATGTGAACAGCAGAGGGATGCATGGGGGGCAAAGCTCCCCCTGCTGGCAGCTGATAGAAAGGTGACCTCAAAGCAGAAAGGCAGAAAGGGTCATCCATCCTGGGAGATAAGGATTGCAATGAAAAAAGAGAGAGAAAGAGAAAAATTCAGTCTCGGTGTGGCAGTGCAGTGTTCATTTTCATTAACCTATGTGCCTCCATCTCCCAAAGAGGTGACATCACAGGGTCGTCCATCTTTCAAGAAAGCAGCTGCGTCTCCTGGCACACCTCAATCACCACCACACAGCAGCTACAGCGAGAGACTGCACTGTGTGCTAATGCACAACTGTGCAATTCTGTGTGTATGACATCCACCGCTCATCCCCTCATTAAATGCATTACAGCGCGGTGTGTGATGGGTGCTGCAGTCCTGTGATCTAGCTGGGCTGACAGACCAGGGGCACGCAGCCTGTGTGATAGCCCAAAGCAAGAAGGGCCCTTGTCAACACATGCATGCGTGCACACACACACACTCACACAGTGTCCAGATGATCATGTACAGTACACATTTCAAACAAACACTGCACCATTTTCTACTGCTGGTTATTTTAGTATGATCCATTTTTGTATGATTATTACACTGAACAAAAAGGATTCTGTCCCCTTGTAAATGTTGCATGTTTCAATCTGGCGTATTTAATAGCTTTTACTGAGCAACAGAACCATACATATATTTTAAAATGAACTTTAAATTACTGAAACTCTTGATTTAGATACATTTATTTTGTGCAGCCATTTGACATAAGAGTCATAAAAGTGGTTAACAGGATAAATCTTATTTCAGAAGAGTTTTTTAATGTTCATTTGTCAGAAAGCATTCAGAAGTAAGCTCCAGATATACAGAGTTAGGTGGCAAATATTTGGAATGTTTGAATTCTATCAATGACTCTAACCAAGTTTAGGCAAAGAGAGGAAAACTGGAATTATTAACTGGTTTTGATGATGTAGCTTCAAAACATATGCAAGATTTTCATTAATAGAGCAAGATCAGTTTTTTATTTATTTCAATACAATAAAAACACACCCATAGGATTTTTGGAAAACTATCAAGTGTAGTGCTTCTCCTGTTGTCTGTCTCTAACCCAGTGTTTTTATGGTCACTGCCATCTGTCTCAGTCACGTCCCACTCCATCTCTCTTACGCTCAACAAAACCTCTTCCTCAGTTAAATAACATACAAATAAAGAAAATCAACTAAAATATTTAAGCTCTGAGAAAAATCTATTCAAGGTCAACGTTACACAGACGCATTTTACTGCTGAGTCTAAACAGTGCAAATACTTAGTTCCATTTTATGCACTGGTTTGCACAATTTGCTCTCAGAGGAAATTGGTGCCAAGTCAACAAAAACAACTGAGCGGAGAGGCCTACCTGTATGGTGTGAAGGAGGGGTGGGGCAGGTAACTGGGGTGGTAGTAGGCAGCTGCAGCGGCTGCAGTGGCGGGGTCCAGGCCAAGGGGCAACGAGGGCATGCGGAGGGCATCCTCGGTCGTGGCGTAGGGCCGGAAGCCACGGAGATACTCTTCTGGTATAGGACCAGGGGGCACTGCATTAGGCAACTGTCTGGGCAGACTGAGGATAAAGCAACAGTAGAGGAACAACAGAGATTTTGCATGTGTTAGTTATTGTGAAAATTGACCAGTTTTCACCAAGAAACTCTAAAATATTTATTCAGCAGAATCAACCAGACAAATGATTGTTGTAGCAGCTTATTCCAGTGAGTTTCATTAATGATCATATGCCAGAGTGTTAATGAAAAATAAATCCATGAGAACAAAACACGGCGGAGCAGTGTGTGACTCACTTGAGGGGCTGGAAACGTGAATCCTGCATGACAGCACCGGGGGTGAGACCAAAGGCATAGGGGTTTCCCAGGAGGTGGGCAGGGATAGAGGGGCCACCCTTTTCCTGGGGTAGGTTTCCCTCGACACCCAAACGTTCCCTGCTGGCCCCACGAGGCCCTGAGTCAATCTGGGGAGAGGAGAGAGAGATGCGGAGAGAGAGAGAGAGAGATTCCTGGTCATTGTTTGTAGGGACCTGTGACCGTCACGGTTGTCAGGTCTCATGAAGCCCATCCTGTGAGGGGGCGAGGATGGGGGAGGTGGGGGAGAGAATAGGCCTGTGTGTGATGCAGCAGCCTCCCTCACTCTCCCTCTATTCAGACCTCAGAAAGATTCATCCACTTTCTCACACATGCAACAACCCCAGTAAAAATACATGGATCAACTTTACTCTGAGGGAAATCTATTGTAAAATGAGGAAACCAGAAAAGTAGGGTAAAAAACACAGTTTAATTTAAAGAGAGCGATGCCATCTATATAATTGATGAGGATGTGGGAGATGCACAAAGGCAGTGCTTCCACTGAGAATAAGATTTTGATCTTGATTGAGTGTGTATGTTTGTGTGCAAACATAACCTGCCCACCAACATGTACAGAGGAAGACAAGAAAATCTAAAAAGCAACATCCCTCTGCCTCGCCATCTCCCTTCTTCTCCTTCACCTCCCTCTCTCCCTTTGGCAGCAAGTCTGGTCTCACTTATCCAATCCTCACAACAAACATACACACACTCAGCAGGCACACACACCGTTTCAGAGCTACAAAGACATCCTGCTGTGCGAGTGGGAGGGCATTTTTTTCTCAAGCTTTGGTATCCCTCGGCCTACAAACGCAAAATGCCGAGCTGGGGAAATTTACAACCCTTGTAAGTAGGAGAAAGGGAAATTGTTTACATAAAGATGTGTACAGTTGATGAGGGTTTTCATCGGAGTGGCAGAACAGTCATCTCATCACCGGGCGAAATAAGACTTGAAGCGGCGAGCGACCGACTGGAAAGAATCAGGAGGGAAGAAAGGGAAGAGAGATGAAGCCCTAAAGAAGACGAGAGAGAGGAGAGGGCACTTCTTGCCCCGCCGAATTAACCTCTGGGATTAGAGAGAGACCTTAAAGCGGCACTGTCTTCTCTCTCACTGCCGCCTGATAAAACAAATCCTATTTAGTGAGCCATTACCTCCACGCCCTCCTCTGCAGCCACTGACCCGGAATGACACTGATGCGCCAACATCCAATCTTAAATGCCTCTAATGTTCAGACTCCCCACATCCCCCTTTGTTTCCTAGACCTCCCACTTTCTGGTGCTTGCTCCGTGTTGTTTGGTTGCACTTCACTAAACAGTGAGGCACTTTATTCCCTCAAACCCCTCTGTCCCTCCCCGCAACCACCCCCGCACTCACTCCATCCCTGTGCTTTCAAAGCTTTATGAGCACAGGGGAGAAGGTGGATGGTCCCTCCCAATCAGCAGCCGACTGGAAAACAGGTTCATGTATGTCAAAAGAAGTCAATATCAGCCCATGCATGCAAACCACAGAGTGCCAGGCTCTCTGTTTGCTACTTCCTCTTTTTTTCTTTATCTGCCGTTACAAAAAACGATTGCTGGTTCGATGGAAGTCTGACTGTTAAAAAGACCTTGAGATATATGTGGCAGGCAAATATACATGCAAACATTTCTGAGTTTAACCCACATGAACTTTCCCATGAAGCCATGCACATATATCCTATCATACAGATGTACGTTAAGGTAAGGTGACCGGTATTACTTCTATCAAACTTTCTGTCAGGTAATATTTGCTTTAATCACATCTGTGAACCGCTTTATCAAGTGTCTAACAAAACTTTCATCATTACTTAACTGAAATAACTGTGCCACTGAACTTTACTCAAGTACTTTTCTCTACCCATGATATTCTGTATAGTGAAAGGCATATATTATGTACATATTCTCTGCTTTTTACTTGATTTTTATTCTTATTTGATTTTTTTGTGTGTATTTTTTTAATCTACACAACATTTTTAGCTTTGCAGGATGATTGACATTTTTTCTTTATTTGTAACATGAGTCGCCACAGAGCTCTACTGGACTAATTAGATTTACTCATACATTTCACATCATAAGACGATGGAATAAAGATGCTTGTAAAACAACAAAGCGTTGCAGTGCTGCTGCAAGTTTACAATTGACTGGCTTTTCTTGATTTGAAATATTAATACTGTTACTGAAAGTAAAGAAAGTCCCTTTTCTATAGGAGATGATCAAGAAAAATGAATTTGGAATCTTTTTGTTAATGATTATGAGTGCAAATGGCAGCCATGTTGCATCTTTATGGTGTCATTTTTTCTGCCAGAGCCTGATCCCGGTCTGTGTATAGAATATAGGCGTACACAAAAACATGTAAAGGTGTGGATGTAACAGGTCAGAACCTTGAAAAAGTTAACATGCCTTAGACAGAACGTTTTGTTCCCATTAGAGAGGCACCTTAGACACTCGGGCATCCAATCAGCCATCCCATTCTGACCTTTCACCCCGCCGTAAAAAAGCATCCTTCCATTCTCAAATAAACACTATTCAATAGCAGCCCGCCATATACACACTACAGAGCACAAATACAAAGACACATCCATTAGCAGGGCATCTTCCTCTGTGCGAGCCAGGCTCCTGTAACCCCCAGTGAGGGTGGGAGACCCCGTGCATTGTAGAGTTCTCGTTTACGCCTCTCAGATGGAGCTATGAATCCAAATTGCCAATTAAAAAGCAATTACAGGCAGCAGCGGGAGCAGACTCCTGCAGTCATTAAAGCAAAATGCCAACACACCAAGCCCTCCCCCCTTCACTGCCTTGCCCATCACCCCCCTCTGAAAGACAGACTAATATCTCAGCCAGAGAGACACTAATCAACCCTTCTAACACACAGAAAGCAGGACACACACACACACACACACACACATGCAACAGATAAGCTTTACAGGGGATCCACAGAACAAAACCTCTGTGTGTAACTATTTATCCTCCCAGCGTGAAAATCTCCTTTCGTCTTTATTTCTTCATTTCTGGCTCTTGTAATATTCTTTGTCACTCTTTATGTCATAACCCAGAAGAAAATTCTGTATAAATATTGGATGATAAAAGCAGACACATGTTACAGCCACACTACGTTTTCATTTGCTACAGATAGGCCTGCCATCCATACTACTGCAGAGTTTTAGACCAGCTAAATCGGATCGGTTTGCAAATGGTGCTGACTGCGTTTCAGTCTGGATCGGCAGAAACGTATATGTTTGTAAACGATGACATAGACACTCACAAGAGCTTGCTGATAGGGTCTTTTCAGTCATGACCTAGCCTTTGCTAATCAGTCAGGTTCCTATTACATTACCCTCTTCCAGATGATAACAACCTGGTTTAGCCTTGGCCACCAGTGTAGAGCGCAACATGGATAATCAATTAAAATCGTTGCTGACCCTGTTGTTTCTGCGGAGAGCTGTTGTGCAGTTATATTCAGCATTTTACAATGATACAACTGCTTGTGTAGGGCACCAGCTATTATTTGAGAAATCTGTGACAATTCCCTTGTTCCAGTGGGGCACACTTGCCTTCCTGTTTACACCACCAGGTGCATGTCCAGTGTACATGAGTGGTCATGTAATATGTTTTTAAAACTGAGATTAAAACTGATGCGGTGCTAAAACACTTGTGTGGACAGAATTTTAAAAAGAGTAATATGGATGCAGCCAGAGAAGGTTAGAGAAGACTACAAGGGTTAAGGGCAAAGACAGAAGGTAAAAGCACTGATGCATTCTTCCTCATCAACCATTAGTGATGTTAACAAGCTCCAGACAGTATCATCTGTGTTTAAGAGGGGCATTTTGATAGCAGGGGTGCATCCATGTCCTTTATAGCCACATAGCTCTTTGTCACCAGAGTTGTAGTGCTTCCTGAAGCAGCCCCACAGAGACAGAGGAGATGCTATTACATCAGCTTGCTAACCCCCCCCCCAACCTTTACCCCCTCCATCGCAACCTCTTGTCTACACCTTAACCTCCTCCATTCTTCAGCTGGGTGGCCCCAAGCTGCTGTAGGCACCAACAACCCAGTGGCACGACCTTTTGGATTCATGCTCGTTTTCTTGCACACACACACACACAGACACACACACACACACACACACACACACACAGACACACAGACACAGACACACACACACACACGAACAGTATTAACAACAATATATGTGGAAAGGAGCGGCAAGGCTTCTGTCCCTTTATTTCTTCTGTTGCACTTGAATGGGGGGAAAAAGGGTGATATGATTGGGAGAGATCCCCTGCAGCCCCCTCCAACTTCTGGTCGACCCTTGAACTATTGAGGGGTCATTCCGTAAAAGGGGGGGGCAAAAGGTTGAATGTTACCACACTGACCTCCTCGCTCACCCTTTGCTCTGCCCCTTCTCCCTGTCTCAGGGGAACCGTCAAAGTGTCTCACCGAGTTTCTGCGTGCAGCCGAGTGCTGTTCATAACTGTGTGCTTGGCCTCGACCATTAGCCCTGAGCTGAGATAACAAGGCTTAAATCAAGGCCATAATCCATAATCCACTCCTTATCAAAGCAAGCAGCTCTCCTCCTCTCTCCCTTCTACGTAACATAGAGCGGGTGTCGGGGTGACGAATCAGAGGATGCACTTGACT